TAAGTTAATATATAATTATATATACAGTACCTAATTTATATATAATTAATATATAATTATATGTACAGTACCTAATTTATATATAATTTATATAATACTGTCCAGACGATAGAAATCTCTCCGTAGCGTGGCACTACGGACGGTGGGAAAGTAGTTCGGCTGCCCGATGACGTTTAACGTAATTATAGGGGGTTTTTTACTGTTTTTTACTGTTTTTTACGGATACCGTCACAATTTTTTTGCAGTTTTATAGGAATCGTAATTATTGGGACCGTAATTATAGGGGGGTCGATTGTATTACTGTTATCTTTTAAATAATTTTTATGAAAAATGACAAATATAAAAATCCAAATAGAAAATGTTATATAAATTAATAATTTCATTTTTTATTCCAATGAAACCATGTTTTTTTATTTCCTTTTACTTTTCATAGACACAATGTAGTGACACTTTTTAAACACTTGGCAGATTATTCATCTTTTATTAGGTTGGGACACTAATTACAAGGTGCATTTTGGGCTCCAGCCCCTCCTCAGTCAACTTAAAAGTTCAATATGCGACAATTGCATTTATACAGACAGTATACATAATGGATCGTAGAACAAACAGACCAACAGTTTTTGACGAGTTTTTTTATAACATTTGCCTAAATAAATCAAATTTTCAGAAAAGTATAACAACGTCCATTATGCCTGCAGTTTGTATCTTGGCATATCACTTAAATTTACACGATAACTGTTGCTACTGTTACATATAGACAGGTCTTGCACACAACCATCACAGTGACCTAATAATTTCATGTTAACACAATTAAGTAAGAACAATGTTCTTATAATAAATACAGATTAATTAAATATTTTATTCCAATCTAAAGTTCTGTCTACAGAACTTTAAATCCTGTCTACAGAACTGTCTTTCACTTCTTTAATTGATTTTCATACAAACATACTTGAGTGAATTGTAGCCATATAAACATTTATATAATTAAAATATTTTAGTTTTTTTGTATAATATCATTAGTTCAAAAAAGGCTGGATGATTGGTTTATGTCCATTCGTCTCTATAATAATTAATAAGCTATATTTTACATCAAGCAGTGGCTTCAAGAGAGACAATAAATGCAAATAAACATTCTGTGATAACAAATTAACACAATTTGGTAACTACAACCTCCCATTATGTAACTTTAAAATTAACTCTTACAAAAGACCAACAGTGCTATACATGACACATTCACCTGACAATGAAAAAGATGCAAGAAATTTCGGGAATATGTCTTACCTTAATTTAGTAACCTTACCACTCTCAACACTTGCATTTCTTGTGTATTTAAAGGAAAATCTGATGACCTAGTTCTGTGTAAATGGAAACTAGACAATGACAATACAAAGCAAAATGCAACATAGCCACACATCTCATAGCAAGAAAGATCACAATCAAGGTAGGTTAATTTGCATTCTATTACTATTTGCTTAATGTAGGTTACATGTGCCATGTGCCAACAGAAAAGTTTTATGTCAAATCCTGTTAGTCACTATTGTATGAACCTCTTGATCCTGTCCAAAACAAGAATCTTTTCTCTCTTCAAAATAGGAACCTTCATATAAAAGACAGTGAAATAAAATTGTTCTTTAATTGATGCATATTATACACTATACCTATAAATATATGTTGGACTATTAATACACCGCATTGTCCTTAATTCTTATCTTACACATATAATATTTACAATTAAAAGATCTCTAAATTTAATTAGGTCTTTTCTTTACTGGCACAGACCTATTCTTGACACACTGTTTCCCAAAAAACTCAAAAAATCCATTTCCTAAATCTACATCTGAAACTCAATTATCTGAATTATTGAGAGTTAGCATAAGTCTGCTTCCCTAAAACTGAATAAGTTATGTAGGTGCAGGCTGATAGAAATCAGAAATGTTACATTTATAACAAAACCATTTCCTGTTGTAGGGTCAGCAAAGCCTACTCAAGTTCAGAACAAAACTCTTCCCCATATTCCATAACTCTTTCACAGTCTAGCACTTCAGAAATAAATAAACTATACATAGGCCATGACTAATTTTTAATGCAAAAAAGAAAGCAATGTTTTTCACGATCTGTCAGAAAGCAAAGCTGGAAAACAGTTTCACAAGAGGATGCATGATCTTAAAGGAAAATGTAATTAAACATGAAAGTGACAAAGACATAACAAAGCATACAGCTTTCTTGTTGTTTAAAAAAAAAAAACCACAAAATATAAACAAAGTTCTTGTAATTTCTTTTTCAAAAATTCATGAAACCACATTGTCAGCAATGTGTAATGCTTATTTCTTAGCTAAGCATCTTTTATCAAACTTACTTCTTAATGAGCTCCGAATAGTACTGGGAGTAAATCAAATCAAAACTTTAAAAATAGATGGTCTCACAAGCACCAATTTATGTAATTTTGAGAAACACATGCAGCAATGATTGAAAACCAGATTACTGAAATCAGATCAGTTTGACTAAAAGACTGGCAAAAATTAAGAAAGTTGCACAGGAAACCCTAATTTACTGTAGGCTTATTTCTATCAGTTTATACATTTCTGATGCAGATTTCCCACAATTAAAGCAAAACTTAATGTTGGAACTTTGTTCCATCTTCTAAAGTATAAGATCAAAATTATAGCACAAGAAAGCATGTAATGTTCACAACAGTTGAAGAAAAACCAGCTAAAAAATAAGAATTGCTTACTTAGGTTTTATAAGAAACAATTCATGTGTTACACAAGTGATGGTGTATATAATAATTAAAAGAAAAAATAATTTCTGGAACTTTCTAGACAAACTGTATGTATTATATATAATAATTATTAAACTCTAAACTATTATTAACAATTAACTTATTCTATAAAATATTAAACAAAAAAAATTTTTTTTTATTCTTGGAATACTTGAAAAATTTCAAGTATAAAGCCAAACAAACTACCAAATTATTGTGCTATAATATTACTATGTAATTATGTAAATACTAAATAATTTGTCTACAAGTAGGCAGATAATTCAGCTGTTTGCTTGGCTTTAACTATACAGTAAGACCCCACTTAACGCGGGGGATGCATTCCTAGACGACAAAGTGCTAAGCGAAACAGTGTTAAATGAGACCATTTTAACATAGAGTAAATAGGGATAGGGGAACACGCAACCGAAAAAAAAAAACTTTAATTTTAAGTTATTTTTATATTAATCTGTATAATAATATGTGTTAAATAACACANAATATATTTACATAATTTAATTGTAATATATAAAAGTAATTATCACTTAGATCTAGTTGTATATGTCATACAAATATATAATAATAATAGCACTCAAATGCAAACTTCTATACACCCAGAAACCATATTAGAAATACAGTAAGAACCCACTTAATGAGGGTGATGCATTCCTAGACAACAAAGTTCTAAGCAAAACAACGTTAAACGACGTCATTTTAACATAGAGTAAATAGGGATAGGGGAATACGCGACCAAAAATCAACAAATTTTACTTTAATTTTAAGTTATTTTTGTATTAATCTGTATAATAATATGTGTTAAATAACACACAGACAAATGCACACAGAAATGTATAATAATATATTAATTAGTTCATTTTTTGTGATGAAGGTACTGATTCTTCTAAAATTCTCGTTCTTTTGCAATAAAGTCGTGAAGTTTCATTTGTCACTTTTTTCTCTCCTTAAGCAAATGTCGGTAGCAGAAGATTGCATCCAAAATGCCTCATTTTGCTTTTGCACTCCTTTCAAAATCTAGATCATTCGCTACAATTTGATCAATGATTTCGGTTATCGTTACCAAACTTTTACTAAAGAAACCTGTAGCAAGTTCTTCGGGTTCTTCGTTTTCAAAATCTCTGTTTTCCAGTTCTACACAAATTCCCTGTTCTGCCAGTTCTTGAAGTCATCGTTGGTAAGGCTCTTACCAGAAATCTGCAGTAACTCCCCAATATCCTGCTTGTCTACATCTCTTGTATCAATAAGTTGACAATTTTTTCAACCTAACGATACAGCAATAGGCTCTTCACGATGACAATTCTTAGATACCTTCAGCCATAACTTCTTCCACACTCTGTTCATGCATTTATCAGTTAATTCTTGCCAAGCCAAGTTGCTATTTCCTATGGCATCCATAATGTTATATTTTTTCCAAAATTGCACAAAACAAACATAGATTTAAAGAAAGTACACCTTTTTGCCACCTTTTGCTGATTGGTTTGTGTTCACAAATAATCATATTACGTACAAATTAATGAAATGCTGCGTTATTTTGAATCAGCATAAATTTTGAGCATTTTTTAGGCATCAAGCAGACCGCGTTATATTGAATCAGTGTTAAGCGAGGCAGCGTTAAGCGTGGTCTTACTGTACATCATGTTTTTGAGTTGATGTTCATATACAAAATACCAGTATTCAGAATAGAAGATTTGTGTTCATATACATTTCAAGTATAATTTCTGATAACAAATATTTAGATGCAGTCTGACAACAAAGAATATTTTAAAATATTCTTTGTTGCCAGACAATAGTTAAATAAATAATGTTCATTATTTCTTATAATCATTTGATACACTATTATTATTCTACATTTAATCAATTTGTACTATTGTACTTATTTAAAAGTTTAAAAACAGCTTGTTATAAACTTTTATAATATATAATGCAAAACATTTAAATGAATGATTTTAATCTGAGACCAAAGCTATATTAGTTACATTAAATATTTTTTATAAATTTTATTTATGTTCATTCTTGCATCTACTAGTTTAAAAAAAATTTGTAACTATTATTTGTTATAATAATTATTTGTTAACTGCTCATTTTTTTTCAAATATATTCAGCTCTAAGTACAAAAATAAATAAAAGAAAAACACATCATAACTTCAAATAACAGAAAAACAGATGATAGCAAATCAGTTCATAATGCACAAATAATCACTTTATATAACTGTTAGAAGTCTGCAATAACAAATCTAAAACGATATTTAATTTTTGAAACAGACTATTTAAGAACAATTTCATAAAGTGCAATATAGACTTTAGAATAGTGTATTACAATGCAATTTGAAGATTAGAGATTTCAAATCAGAGTTTGTTTTTGTTAAATTGAAAGAATGATAAGAAGATGTAAAAGAAAGTTGATATTGTATGTATTTTTAGCCTCAGATTAGTGGAGTCAATCTACTCTGAGAAAAAAGAATTTACTCTACTGAGAATGTAGGATTTACTCTAGAAACAAAAAACTAGATTTATGGATTTCAGCATCAGAGAAGTTGAAAAGCTTGGTATAAACTTAGATGGATAGAATACAAAAATGTCACAGTTTAACTACAATGACAAGAAATTAATTGATCAATGTCTTGATTTAAAGACAAATCAAGGAGATGGAATGTTCCTAAAGTAAGAATGTTGAGTTTCCTGATTCCTTTCCAGAAATAACTTTGCTTTGCCCAAACATTACTGAGAAAACATTGTAAAATCTATATTAATGTTTGCTTTGGCAAGACTGTATATAAACTGTAAATAAATTCTTAAGTTGTTTTTATACTTGACTATTAAACAAAAAAGAACTGGAGGATTCTTCACAACAGAAAACAAATGAAGGTAACAAAAAACAAAATCATATATATTTTAATTTGGTAAAATATAAAAAGTTATTTCATCTAAATTTTCACAAATACAAAATGATTAGAATTAAAGTATCTCTATTCTTGAGGTTATTCTTTCTCATCGACTGTATAGGCATTATCAATGGAAAAAAATACTCAATAACAATAGCAATCTATGTAAAAAAACAGAATAAAAATAAACTATTGTACTTACTACATATATTTAAATATTCATCATATTTTTACATACAGTAATATGCTATAATTAATATCAAATATATGTAGTCTAATAATTATTAGAAACACATCAAATATATTTCATCCATTTATAAAATAAATTTTATTTAAAGTCTATTAAAATATAACAAAATTAAATCAATTTTTTGTAATAATTGCAATTCATTACACTTTATTTATTTGCAAGTGTCTATTAAAATTAAGCAATTCCATTAAATTTATTCAAGTTAAAGCAATGAATAAAATTACTTTTAATAAAACCAAGACTAAAAACATGCAAACTAAACTGTTTTACCTGTAATATCATCCCTTAATTCTGGATGATTGAGAAGAAAATGCATGGAATACTGTACACATCTTACTCTTACTTGCACACTGATATCATTAAACCTAAAATGAAATTATTATTATATATTTTATTATATGTATTTGTCCTACATAATTTTAAAACATTAAAAAATAATTAAATTCATTATAATTATTAAATAATATATTTTAGTAAATATAAAAGTAAATTATAAAATTATCAAAAAATAAAAGTAAATTATAAAATTACTATAAAGTAATATAACTGAATCATGCATTTTTGATAGACAATTTAATTAAATCAAGATTTTTTATAGATAAAACATACTCAAATATAACAAGCAATTACATTTTAGTCTTAATTTTGTATATTATCTTTCTTATTTAGATGAGTGAAGTAAGTGGATATATGTTAAATAAGCTTTTGAAAAATGTTACCTCAATTTAACTTTGAAAAGCATTTCCAGATTTTGCAACCCAAATGTATTAATTAGCATTCGGAATAAATTATTTTACTTTAAGATCTATTTGAAATTTGATTTACTAATAAATCTAAAACTGATATTATTGGAATTAATAGTGATATTTAGTGAAAGTTATTAAATAATATTTGATAGCTGTTTTCATAATATTTCATACAGAAGTGTTTGCTATCATTTGATATGCTTACACCACTTTAGATAGATAACTTTTTAATGACACTGTCTATATTATTTTTTTGACATGAATGAAGTGATTTCTGTGCAACTTGACATGGGAGATACTTGATTCTCATCAATTTAATTTCATGCTTATTTGAGAAAGCTGATATGCTTTTCTGAATTAACTGCTTCACAACCAATTTTCTTTCAAGAGTGCCACAACACAGAGAGCAACTAGTCTTCTGATTTGTTAGTTAAATAAGTATTTTTATTTTGAGTCATTTGAATTACCAAAGAAAAAGTTCTAGTTTGAAACATAGTGAAACCTTTTTCCTTTGTTTATCTTCAAAGCAAACCAAAGACCTCCTTGTTGATATGTGCTTCTTGTCCTTAATTACTTATAATATATTTGTGTCCACTTTGGACGTTCTTATAAACTAAGACTTGTTATACTGAGGGAAGAAAAACACACCATTTCTAATAAAAATATATTTATTGTAACATAATCTTGATTATATTACAATAAGTAGAGTAACTAGGGAAAATTTCATCATATATTTCATCACAAATAGATGAATCATCAATGTCTGCTAATATGAAACTTTCAAAAGAACACATCCACATGTTGTTGCTTTATCACTTCAAAAGTTGCCATAATGCAATGAAGACTCAATCTCATCTTCAAGGCATTTGGTATGGACACAGTCAACAGGCAGAACCACTACAACTGGTTCAAGAAATTCAGGAATAGAAATTTCTTGCTTCAAGATGAATCCATCTAGGCAGCAATTCTACCAATGATGATGACATTCTCCTGCAACAGCTTGTTCTCCTTGTAGACAATAATCCACAGCTGACCACCAGAGAATTAGCATAACAACTTAAGTATTCTTATACACTAAAAATTGACAAAGTCTGATACCACCATGACAACATGCCAGCATAGAAAGTAAAGTTGACCTTAAAGAAGCTGGCCAGTCTGTGTTGGGAGGTTCTGCCTCAGCCACCTTATCAAATCAAGACCTGGCATCAACTACCATCTATTTTACATCCTGCAGAACTAGACTGCCACTATGCAGTTTAATGACACTACCCAATGCTTGAAACTTTCTTCAAAGAAAAACCTCAGAAAAAGTTTGAAGTGATTCATATTAATGGTGATTATCTACAAGACTGAACTGTAATCATTGTTGAGTTAATTGTCAATAAAGATTTTCTTTCAAAATGTATAAATTTCACCTTTAGAACCTAATATTAAGTCATTCTTTTTTAATGATAAAAATAATACTTATTTAAATAAGTCTACATTAAAATACTAAAACTAAAAATAAAAAAAATAACTTCATAATTATACATAATACTTTACCTTCCAAGAAAACATTTCCATAAAGATTTATTTTCTAATGCTAATTCTGAATTTTTATCAGAAAACATTCGTGCAAGTAATTTAGTTGAGTCTAGTCTTGCCTTTTCATCACTTCCCTATTAAATAAAATATTTAATTACATAATTTTATTAATACATTTCCTAAATTATAATTGTTAAATTACTATTTTTTTGACAAAATAAAATTTTTAAACAAAGTTAAATTTTTCTTATAAGCATCAAATATTAAAATATTTATTCTTTATAAACATAAACTGAAATAGAAATAAAACTAAAATTAAAAATCAATAACAATTTTTTCATTTAAATACTAATCATATTTAAAAATGTGAAAATTCTTTTAATAAAAAATTGAAAATAAAAAAATCAATATTAATTTTGAAAAGTGCATAAAGTTTTAATGAAACATATCAAAAACTGCTGGAGATTTCCAAGTTATTTTATTGAGCTGCAATTTGAAAAAATTGCAGATTTATAAATTCCCACTGTCTGTCTGTCCTTCCTTAATCTCAAAAATGGAGTTAGATAGACAATAAAGTCAAGACCAGATATGGGAAGCTTAGGGGCAGGCAGCCCCTATTATATGAACTTCCAGTTTGCACTTGACTATATGAACTTCTGACTTGCACCCAAATATATGAACATTCATTTTGCACTGGAAGTCAATTATATCAATTCAAAAATTTTCCCAAGATAAATGACTAGCAGGACTCTATTGCTAGCAGGAAAGTATAGATAGCAGGGATAAGACACTACTAATTTGAAGTGGAGAGCATACATTTTAAATTAAATTAATTAAAAATACAGTAGAGCGTCAATTATCCAAATCAATTGAGGACTGGGGTTGTTCAGAAAATTGATTTTTCGGATAACCAATTATGTATGAAAAAATACATTATTAATATAGTATATTAGTGTATCCCAATAATAGTATATTAATAAATCCCATGTTTAAATTTTTCTCCATTGCATGTCGCTTCGTGTTGAATTTTCGTTGATGTTAACCCTAACAAAAATTTTTATAATAATAATCGTGGCTATTGTATCATTAAAAATTATTTCTTTATTTTGTACAAACAAAATAAATATATTGAAAAATATAAAAACAAAAAAATTATACTTTAGAAAAATACATTTAAATTGATTAAACAATGGTTTGTTTAAAATTCTTTAGGTGATATTAATTCTAAAAGACAAATTAGAATATGTGTAAGTAGAAAAATTTAAAAATGAATTACCTTTAATTTAAATTCCAGTTGTGGAAGAACTGATACCATCATACTTGGACAGATTGTATTTAGTTCATATATTAAATCATACAGATGACCACTTATATTCGTTTTAGATTTCTTATTTAGAATCAGAGTATTGCTGAAAAACTGTAAAGAAAAAATTAAATTACTATCATACATATATAGAACAAAACAAGCCTGTTCTTATTTAAAATCAAATAGCAATTTAACTGTTAGATCTTTTATTGAATTAATTATATAAAAACACTAGTTGTTACCTGCGACTTTGCAAGCAAACCCCATTTATATTCAGTATTTCAACAATCATAGTAATTGTTATATAACACCTACCACTGAGAATGATGAGAATCAAATTAACTGTTTTCAATTTGATCAATTTTCTGGAACGTTTACAATCGTTCTATAATCGAACCAATATGCAATAACAAATTCAAATTTAAAACAGTTCGAACATTTGGTTAAAAAATCAAAATATATAAAAATATTTATAACAATGTCTGAAATGTTATCAATTTAATATACCTAAGAACTTAATTAAAACTAAACATAGTTAAAAACAAAAAATTGCATCTAAAATAGTACAGTAGAAGCCATTCTTCAGGTTAAGCTTTAATCCTTTCCCTGTCCCCTGCAGAGGGAATTTCCAAAAATCCCTTCTTAGTGTGTATTTTCATGGCGTACACTACTAAAACATAGTTAAAAACAAAAAATTGCATCTAAAATAGTACAGTACAAGCCATTCTTCAGGTTAAGCCTTAATCCTTTCCCCCCGCGGAAAAATTTTGAAAAATCCCTTTGAAACTATAAAGGATATTCAAATGAAAATGAGAATCAAGTTATAAAACATAACAATAATAAATGTATTTATTCAAAGGAAGTCTCCTCAAGAATTGAGATATTTATCCCAATGTTTAACAAGCTGACAAATGCCATCCTCAAAGAACTGGACTGGCTGCTGGAAGAACCACATTCTAACTGTATCTTGAATTGCTCATCTTACAAGAATAAACATCCTTTCTGATGCTTTTCAAGAGGTCCAAAACTGTAGAAGTCATAGGGACTAAGATTGGGACTACATATATGCAGGATGTATTAACACTTTCCATCCAAAATGGTGCAGTATGTCTGTAGAGGAGCCATAAAGTCTATATGTTCTGGCAATCTCTCATCTTATGTAGTTTTACTCCCTTACAATGCATGACCATATACCCTTCATTCTTTCAGTTTAGCTCCAGCAGGTAGGTGCATAAAAGAAAAGGTATGTTATGAGCAAAAGTATTTCTGTTGTTGTGAAATTAGCTTATCACATGTAAACATGTATTTTATATTATTAGTGTGTTAATATACATGGTTGAGCAACATTATTATGACCATCTACTTAGTAGCCAAAGTATGTGCCTTGGGCAGCACATACAGAACTCAGATAACATAAAATGGACTCAATAAAGTGCTGGTAAGTGTCAACAGGTATCTGTGTCCAAGCAGACTTCAGTGCATTCCAGAGTTGGTTCAGATTCCTTGGAGGATCATCCATTCATCATTCAATTGAGGTGCTCCCATAGATAGTTTGATCTGGGGAATTGGGTAGCCAGGGTAGTAGCTTGAATTGGTGACATGTTCCTCAAACCATTCATGGACTGTAGCTGTATGGCAATTAGTATTGTCTTGCTGGTAGATGCTATCACTTTCAAGAAAAATAAACATGTATGATAAATGTGAATGTCAACAATTGAGAACTATTTGCATTTATGTTACCATTTAAAGCTATCAAGGGACACAAACCATGCCATGAAAACACTGCACCCCAACCAGCCTGCTTTGTGCCATCAACTGTTTCTGTGAGTTTGTTTTCTGCAGATTGATGCCAAATATATCACCATTCATCTGCTAGGTAAAGCAAAAATCTTGACTCATCAGGGAAAGCTATCCATTTTCACTTGGTCAGGGTCCAGTCAAAGTAGTCAAACTGAATACCGGGACTGGACCCTGAACAAACTGAAAGTGTTGTAAGGAACCAAGTCCGAGCATTATTTTTATTTACTTTTATTTTACTTTTTATTATATTTTTGTTTGAAGCTTAATTTTGTTAGTATGAAGGTTTCCTCACCATTCACCTTAGAAACTTAAAAATAGAAGAGAAACTAACTCACCAATGAGAGAAAAGCGCCGTAGAAAAAACTCGCGCACCCTTGCGCTCCCGAGCGGAAAAAAGTAAGTCCGCACCGAGAAAAAAGGGAGGGAGACCCCACAAGCACAACTTAGGGACTCGCTAAACCTTAAAGAATAAAAACATCCCGAAAATTGTCAAAAAGAATAATGTAAAAGGTTAGCGAGTATTGTCAGAAAATAGGCTGCCAGACAAATAGAAAAAGTTTATTGTTAGCAAATAAGTATGTAAATGAGGGGAGTGATCGCATTCAGAGTTGTGATGTCACCTCACAGAATAAAGTCCGAATCTCAAGTGAAGATGGACGAGGTGAGCTTCTGTTATCAACGAGCTGGGTGAGCTTCGTAGCAGCAAACGAAAGAGAGGTGTCCGATAGGATAAAATAGTTCCAAGGCGATTTTGAAGTTATTCGATTTGTGGATCAAAGATTAGAGAAAGTCTTGAGAGTTGAGGAAAAGAATTCCTAGTATATTGAGGTGACGATTAGGATCTTTAATTCATAAGAATTATTGTATATAAATTAAGTCTTTGAAATTTTGTCAAATTCCAAAGGGGAATAGAATTAAGTTAGAAAATAGATTGATTTGAGTTTTGCCGGGTTGATTCTTATTGACTTTCATTGAATAAATTGTTATTTGAATTTTACTAAAATTTTGTATATAGTTTATTACTAGAACTTTTATTAAATATTTGATTTGTTATTGACAAACTTGGTCATTATTTAATTCGGTGCACGCTTAAAGTTCAGGCCTGGCACAATAACATGAATCCGCATAAAGTACCCGTTAGGGAACGGCTATTTCCAGCACACAGTTGTGTCAATAATCATTGGAAAAGTCAGAAAAATAATATAGTACTTTACAGTTTTTTAACTACTCAGCAGTGAGGGATGGCTATATCCAGTGGTGATATTCAGCGGGTTCGCACAGGTTCGGCCGAACCCGTTGTTAACATTTTCAAAGTTTTCCGAACCCGTTGTTAAATACACGTAACGTTTCTCAGTGGTTTTGTTTCTTTTAAAAAATATATTAAAATATACGTATTATACTCTGTAACACTAGAGCCTTATACTATGTTCGCCTGGTGCAATCTCCTTCGATTGAACCTAGTTTCAGTCGAGATTGAAACGAGGTTCAATCGCAATCGACTCGAGAGAGTTCTCGAAACTAGATCCAGTCATAAGAGAGATCCCACAATTCCACGCGCGCGAGAAAATGCAAGATGGCTGCGGAACACGTGTCGAGCTATCGACAGCGAAATAAGAAAGATATTGTATTTCGAGAGACGATGA